TAGACAGTGTGTGCACAGATAGATAGATATTTGTTCAGTCTCTTGTGAATAGTGCTTTTGATATGATTCTCCACTGGTGATGGTCATATGAGCTGTGTGTTTGTGCTGCAGCTGCTCATAAGACAAGACAGTATTTTCCCTTTGAGATTAAAAGAACTAAAAATGACACATTCAGGAAAAGACAGTTTATCTGCAAGAGAAAAACAATGAAAAAATCTAATCCCATTCTAACTCATCTCTGTCAAAGCTGGAGAAGGGAGGGGCTGGTAACGTGAGACACGGGACTCAAGACCAAAAGACTATCCAGGAGAAAAAGAGCACCAAACATAGTCAAAAACACCAAAAATGTTTAATTTATGTTTCAGCCTATTTATTTCATGCATCTGCAGCTTCTAATTATTACAGAACAGGGAAAAATCTGACCTTGTGAGACTGTTGAAGTAGCACTGAAAGTTCCAGAAGTGAAAGCTCCATGCACTGTATCACTTTCTTTTTTAGCCTTTTGTTGCATTAAAGGTGCATTGTGTAACTTTTGTGATAAAGGATCCGCCAATTGCTTGTCCCCATGGAGATTTTACTCCTTTGCAAAAACTTTCCCACAGAACGGCATTGAAATTGTCTCAAAAGTATCTGTCACCATGGAGACAAGCAGGTTTCAGGTCAGATCTGTGGAGAGACAAGCCCGCTCACACAAGAAGAATATTTTTCAGTGTATTTTTCAACAACAAAAACAAAATAGAATGAATGCAAGATCGATAAATTTAATCCCAGCTCACTCAAAGCAGTAACTTCTCCATGAGGACAAGGAGGTGGCAGACTCTCTACCAGGAATGTTACACAGTGCACCTTTAACTTTTTTGAGATATGTAATAATTAAGAGATATATAATGCTTTTTGTCATAATGTGCAGAATTTATGGTATTTTATGTTATTTTTTAGCAGTTTTGCCCCCATGATTTTTCAAGTGACTGAATATTTTGGGGTTAGAACTTGGGATGCGCAGATCTAATGTTTCAGATATCAATGCTGATACTGAAAAAAAACTATTGACTTCCAAATATCAATTCAATATCAATACCATGGACATATAATTGTATGTATTAAGACTATTTTTTAGTTATAGCCAGCCTAGAAAGTCTCATAATGTTACTTTTTTATACAAAGCTGTTCTGTAGGTTGGTATCGGGGACTGGTAGATACTTAAAGCTACAGTATCAGAATCGGTATCAGAACTGACCCCCTAGTTGCACCCCTAGTTAGAACTCTAAGCTCCACTTTCACATCATTTATTTTCCATGGCTAGTTTGGCAGGATCTGATTTTGTAACCACCACCGCTGCACCAATGGTTTCTTAATGGCAGCAAGGTCATTGAGGGTAACTGTCCCCATCCATCACTGTAGGGCCATCGCTGAGGTCCAAATATGAGACCCAATACTGCCCAAGACCATCTGAGTCTGTACCGACCGGTTTCACAGCTGAACAGTAGAGTGAAGGATTGTGTAATACAGCTCACGGCGTTATCACATGCAAAGTAGGAGCTGCCGTTAACTCCCACAATGTCAAGTATGTGGCTGTGAGGCCCTACACACGTTCACTGATGGAATGTACATATAGAATAAAAGCTGTTCCAAAATATATTCTGATTGCTTTAGGGTGATTTGATTTTGGCACTGCTGTTTGGAGCTCCAGATACAGCTAAATGTTTTTCCCATTATAGACTGAAGTTACAAAATTGGCCTTCACAATGAACAGGCAATTTTGTTGCCCAGAGCCAAAACAAAACATGAAGAATCAGCATTTGAGTTTTATACAACTAAAATCAGGAACAGTCTTTTGAATGTTATCAACGCTTGACTATGTTGAAATCTCATCTCCGAAGATCATTTTAATGGTTAATACCTTGTGCAGAAATTGTGCTCTAAAAATACATTTACTCTGTCACGATTTGTTGAAATATACAGATTTGACATCTCAGGGTCTGGAGATGGATTCAGCACTGCTCATAGTCTGCCAATGACCAGCTGCCCAAACAGCATCAAAGGAAGGGTCAATTGTTACCTGTCCAGCCAAACCACACACTCTGACAAAACTTTACAAAAGCAACATTAGTGGGTCTGGTACTGTATCCAGGCGGATGATCCAATCTGAGACGCATGATCCCTTTGCTTCACAACAAACATGTCTACATAGGAAAAAAAAAAAAAAAAAAAAAGATTTGTGCAGAATCAACACTCAAAGCACTACACTGTTACTCGTCTTTGGTAAAAGAAGTGCACACATGTTTCCTAACAAAGACAATACCAATTTGATGCTAATTTATGGCTTAACACATTTTATCAGCACATAACACTTCCATTGCATTGTATCTGTGTTAAAGCAGCCCCAGTACCCCAGTGTCCACAAAGTCAAACCAGGACACACTCAGCACCTGGGCCATCTTTTTGTTTCTCCACAATCAGCCTGACACTAAAACACACAAAGACACACGGTCCACTATCCAGGGCTGTAACGCTGTGCTGTGATTGGACCAAAAGGAGAAGTGCTGTCAGCTCCACTGTGAGCTGCTGACACAACACAGAGCCCCACACCGGATATAGGTCTGCATTAGCACTATGCAGGGGGCCAGTCGAGTGGACTCTACATGCCTCACACATACAAAACTGGACATGTGGTGAACAAGCGGTGGGTGTGGATGGATGATCATTTTGTCTTAGTTGAATCAGTGCAACAGTTACTACAAACCAAAGGGGAGTCGATTATGAACGAACAAGTTTAGATACAACTTTGCAGAGAAAAAGAAAATGTTTATGTGGTAAAACGTGTGCGTAATCCCTCTGTTGTCCTGATAAATCCATAATAAAAGTTGAAATCTGTCAACCAGACAACACCAAGTAGCTTCTTTAGTTCTGCCAAAGCCATTTTAAGAACACATTTGTCCAGTTGGCAGAATTTAACCTTCTTTTCCCTATGTGAGAAAGAAATTTACAAGTACTCTAATCGCAAAAATAGTCAAAGCAGAAATCAAATAGTAAACAGAGCAAATAAACCCATAATAGCTTCAAGTTCTCAAAGCATTCACATCATGACCAAGTAGAACCAAAGACAATATTGAGCCTTCAAGTACCGTCAGATCTAAACCAGGTCTGAAATTGGACCATTAATCACTCAGAGTTTGGGAAACACTTATCATCAGGCTTGTCTGCATTCTCTCCTCTCACACCAACAGCAAACTAACTCTCTCATACATCTCTGTCTCAGTAGCCACAGAATACTTAAAACAGCCAAAATACCCAGAACACCCAACTACCCCTCCTTTGTACACGTCAAAACCATGTATTATCTTGGTACATCTTTGTAAACGTTTAACTTTACCCTCAAAATATCTAGCAAATAGGGGAGTAACAATAGCCGAAATATTGTGATACAGTATCGTCAGAGTTCTCACAATAATATCATGGACCATCACAATATGTCGAATTACAACTCTCAAGACAGACTGAACTACATAGACCATGATCCTTTGCTCCATTATAGCGTAGACTACAAGAAGAAATAACAGTTCTAAGCAATTTTAAGTCTTAGTTCTTTGGATTGAGTCTTGTCAAGGCATTTTAACAGGAAAAAGTAGCATATTAACAGGTTTGTCCACAAAATATCGCAATAAATATCATACAGTGAGATGTATATTGTGGAAATATCGTACCAGGAGATTTGGATATAGTTAACTCCCCACCATATCGTGAGCTTTCCCATGATATTGCAATAAATATCGTACCGTGAGGTTCATACCGTGGCAGTATCGTATCGTGAGACTTGAATATCGTTGCACCCCTACTAGCAAATCATTTCCCTCTTACAGCATTTACTCATTCATAGCCATTCTCATGACAACCAAAGGGACCATTAAATCTTCAGCTTTGCCACCTTCAAAATGTTCTTGCTGTACCATCTGCCTATCCAACAGGTGTCATTTTTTGCCATCTAATTTGTAAATCTTTCCTTGGCGTGCAGTGTCCCGAAACTTCAGGGATTTCTTGCATAACCAAATGGGCGTTTTATGTTTATGCGCGGGCTCAGTCATCACAGAACTTAACCGGACATGTCAACAAAGGAATTATACAGAAGAGTTACATCTGTTCCCGGCCGTGAAACAATGGACAAAAGCCAAACAGAAACAGCGTGTGTCTAGTTTGTGACTGTGCCTTCTGAACTGCGATCAAGAGCAAGTTGGTGGAACGGATCCAAATGATATTATAATGGCTATTCAAGCGAGTCGAGTCAAGTGGTGCTTATGTGGAGAATGAAGAGACTTGGGCACATTATAAGCGCTCAATTTTCTCCAAAACCCACGAGATTCCACTTCTGTTCAGTGCAAATTCCAGACAGGAGTATGTAATGGCCATGGTTTATCATCCCGAGCGCGCCATGTTGGATCCGACCGCTCACATCACAACACTCCCCTTCTTTCTCTCTCCTCTTCCTCAGCCCGCCACCGTGCAGCAGCATCCCTCACGTACAACCCAGCGCCACGGCCAATGCACGGGACGGCGCCAACGTAACAAAACCAACCTCATCCTTCACAGATTTTAATGTAGCGACAAGCTTCTATGCCAAAATAGATCAATAGTGCATGAAACCATCTGCGTAAACACGACGTCCTGTTACACCTGTCGGCCTGGATACCAAACATAACACTACATTACACTAAAACAGGCCCAGTGGCATGTCTTTAAACATTTTTGTCACGTTTTGTCCCTAAAACATCCCCTATAAGCTGTCATCTGTGTAATTTAAATGTATCGCGTGTCTTACGATGTTGACAGTCACGCACCGTACCCTTGCGCACTGATGCTGCCGTGTTTTTATCCTTCCCACTCCTATAACATCCTCCAATTGATGCTGGAGGGGTTGGGTAAACTTGACATTTGGGAAATCAAAATATTGTAGCTAGCTAAAAAGGGCAAGTCTTTACGCACAAGAAAAATAAATCACGACTTACTCAGACGCAGATCGCTTCCCTCCTTTTTCCAAAACAGGCTTGGTTTTTGAGTGTTACTTCTTCGGAATAACCTAACACCCCCTCTTCCTCTCTCCTACCCCTCCTCTTCGCTCCTATTCCTCGCTCTGGCACTCCTTGTGTTGTTGGGGCGAGTGATGCCAACGCGCTAAGCAACAACTGGAAGAATAGCGAAAGCGAATTGGTCTCGGCGGCACTGGGCGTCGTCTGTAGCAGGTTGTATGTAGTGTACCAAAGTGTGGAGACTCGGAGCGCTGTGCAGAAGGGGAGAGAAAAGAGGGGGGGGAAGGATACGCCCCCTCCCCTGCCTGCTGGAGATAAAAAGGGGGCTCTCTGACAGCGTGCACGCGGTGACGGAGATAGGCTGTTGGTCCGACGCTGCTGGCGCTTCTCCACGAGCGCTTATCATATGACGCGCGCGATACCACGCTCCGGGCGCCTCTCTGCAGAAAAAACACAAGCTCAACCTAATTTTGGGTTCATACAGAGGAATACATAGCTGTGTTTTGGTCCGTTGATGCACAACTCCACCTACCGACCAAAAGTATATAAGTCTTACATTGGGATTGCATGGGTGTTACACAATCATCAATGCGCGCTTAATAGACTAGATGTTTACCAGTGGGTTTGGGAACACGTGTTTTTATCAGTTCAAGTCCTCATATGCCCTATGAAATGCACCAAATACAATGTCAGCCTTTAGTGTTTTCTATTGTCACTGACCCACATTACGTTTTCACATCTGCATCCAAAAATAGCAAAGCCGTAGCTGCATCTCCACTGCGCAGCCACTAGATGGTGCTCGTGTTCAAGCGCAGTGTCTTGCAAAGAAAAGGCAGAAAACAGGTTGTGGAGTAGCTTTATTATCAATTCTGGACCCATGTTCGAAATAGGCTTACAAGTTTTGAAGATATTTTTGTCTCGGCTAAATATTTACAAATATAACGATTATTATATTGTTATATTATTGTTTCTCAGACTAGAATGATAGCTGAAATATTCACCTAACCTATCCAGACACAGTAGGAACTTAAAGGCCCCACATGGTCTTGAACCCAGGACCTTCTGGTTGTGTTGCAACTGTGCCACAAGCAACTTTTACAGCAAATATAGATCATTACATATAGACTTTTGAATCATTGTCTATGGCGGCAAACCTGTTTAACATGGGCTAAGAACTAATAAACAGAAATGCAGATGCTCCATTACAAACCTGAAAAAATCTAATTCAGCTTTAGCCCAGATAAGTGTCAGTTTTCATTATATGCACCCTCTGTATGCCCATGTTTGTACGTTTACTGAAAATAGGACTTCACATGCTGTTAGCTCTCCACGCCGAGTTTTATCTCTATTAAACAGACAGCACGTTCCCATTTCTTCTGAGGTAACTAAACCACAAGGGCAATCCTCAAGGTTAAGGGAGCTGTAGCCTGCTTTAGCTTGTTATTTTAGGGACCTGGCACCTGCACAGCGCGCACACACATGCACAGACACACACACACACACACACCAGTCAGATATATCAGAGCAGGATGGTTGGTAATGTCCTGGGACTGTACTATAATGAAGAGAGGTGTAGTTTGAGGAGGCCTTTTCAGATAGAATGGATTCAGTTTCAGCCTTTAGGAGATTCAGGTGCATGGCGGTATACTGAGACAAGTAGACAAAGACAGGCAGCTCCATTGAAACCACTGAGTCCTCCTGTGTGCTGTCTGTGTTGACGTCTGATAAAAAAAAAAAAGATGACATATGTGGGTCAGGCATGTTGTGGTCATGTTTTTTCATTCGGAAATATTTTTGTATGTCTCTTCTAGAAATCAGAGGAAAGAAATGTGTGCAGGTGGAGAGTTTTGGAGTTTAAATATATCATAGTATAGATCATGTGTGCAATGTGGGTTGAAGTGTGGGAATAACTAGTATCCTGCCTGTATTAAAGTGGGTTCAGTTTGTGATTTAGTATACCCCTCCTTAGGCACAAGAAATAGTATGATATAAAATGGAATTAAAGATTAAGAATGAAGTAGAGATCCTCTGGAGAAATTATTGTGCATGAGTATACAAAATTTGACTTCAGATATATTCTAGTTTGGACTAGATGTCATCAATATTCCCTGCGGGTGTGAAGCTAACTGTAGGCACTGCTCTGTCTGAAGCTTTGGTAGACTTTAATCTGAGGTTTATTTTAATACAGTGTGACCAGAAAGAACTGACGTAGTTGGAGCCTCTCACAGTATAGTTTCTCACATTTTCACACAATGTCAATCCCGATAACGAGGGTTAGATAACAGTTTTTCAGTTTGTTACTCTCTATTTGAGAAGCAAAGAGATTAATAACTTGACAATGCTTTATATATTTTCTTTTCTAGTGGAGAGTCTGCCACCTGCTTGTCACCATAGAGATGCTATTTGTACTGCCTGGAATGTTCCATAGTATGTGTCTGTCTGCATGGAAACAAGCTAATGACTAAACCAGTTCACAGGACAGATCTGTGGAGTGGTGACATCACCCACAGTAAGAATGTCTGTTTCTTAAGTTTATATTGAAACAGTTACAGTTAATGCCATTATACATTCCAGGGAAAGTAATAACATCTCTATACTGTGTGAAGAATCCCTCAGTTGCCCAGGTAGAATCCATGGCAAGGAGAAAATTCAGTTTGTCGACTGGACAAAAGTTTGTTTGTTTGAAGACGTCCACTCCATTCAGTGCAGTGAAGACTGCAGTGAACGCTGCATTGGAGAAACTGAACAGCTACTTCACAAGAGGATGTACCAACACAGACGAAAGAGCAATAGTGAAACTCAGTCTGCTGTACATCTCCACTTAAAAGCCACTGGCCACTCATTTGAGGACAACGAAGTACAGATTTTAGCCAGAGAAAAGAATTGGTTTGAGAGGGGAGTTAAAGGCTATTTTTGTTTTTTTAAAGAAATAAAATCCTTCTCTAAACAGAAATAGGGGACTCAGACATCATCTGTCTCCTATTTACAACTCCATCCTCAAAAGTAATTCAAAACAAACAAGAGAACAACAGGTGTAGCCAGGTCAGGTCCAGAGGTGTGGAAGCTCCATTATGGCCTTGAATTGTCATGCTAATTAGACCCCACACCCAGTACATGTCAATAGGCCAAACTAACTAACTGAAACTGTAAACAAGTAGGTTTGTTAGTTTCAGAGTAGTTAGGTGGCTCCTTCTTGCAGACACATATAAGGAAGTGTCCACCAGCATCTGAGCAAAACTGAAGAAGCAGCTTGGATGAGCTGCAAAACATCTTCAACCAAACTAACTTTTGTCCACTCGACAAACTGAACTTTCTCCTCGCCATCTCTATACTGACAAGCAGGAGGCAGACCCCCTGAGAAGTTACATATTTTACCTTTAACTCTTAGTTCATGCTTTTGATAGTCGTGTATGTTGTGTGCACAGTTACACAGTTTTGAGAATCTAAATTACCAACAAGAAACCATATAATTTCCATGTTTTTGATTTGTTGCTCTGTTGGATCACTGTAAACTTCCTCATATGTTTCAGAGCATTTCCCTGTAAATGTTTTGCACACGTCCCGACTCTAAACCTTCAAGGCACCAGCTCAGCAGTCGCCTCTTTATCTCCCACTTAGAACCTCCATCATGAATAAACATGGACCCACTCAAATCGCCCCAAAATGGTAACAACTCATTTGAAATTTCGGGCAAATCCACGACGGGGTGCAGTGGGGAGAAGGGGGATAGAAGAGGGGGGTGGAGAAGTGAATGGCGAAGCTTAAGGAAAAGGGTTGAAAAGCAGATTGAAGCCTGTGGAGAGAAATATAAAGACTTTCTCCATCCTGGGGTACCCACAATGCACTGGGCCAAAGAAATGCCAAAACGTTGAAATCTTTTTGAATCTTTCCTTTAGACCTCAGCCAGCATGTCAGTAGTTTTCCAGCCATAGTTGAAACACAACTTTGAAAATAATGTTCCTGTGTCATATTAGGTGATAATATGTGGAAGTCTTTAACGTACACTTTACATTGGGAAAGTGGTGGTCTGCATTTGACCCTGATCCTTCGATGTGTGGGGACCCATCTAAAGATCTTGGGTTAGGCTTGGTCAGCACTATCTCAGCTGGAGGATTTTACCTGCTGTGCATGAATTGGAAACTGTAGAGCCTGGAGAAAACCCAGACACTGGGAGAACGTGTATAGTCACAGATAGAAGGTGAACATTGCATACAAGCAACATGCATTCTTTGCTTTGTACAGCTACTCCAGCAACATACAGTATGTTTTACAAAGGTCCACTGTGTCACTTTTCTGGTGATCTCTATGAAAATGTTATTGTTTGTCTACATGGTTCTTAGTATTGGGATTAAACTGTTTTATCTTCATGGGAACAAGCAACATCACACCACCAGATCAAGTTACAGGTCAAATATGTTGAGAGTCAAACCCACTCACAGAAAGAATGTTTTAAGTCATTTTTAACCAATTAGCATAACAATTCATGGCTGTAAAAGTCAATAGGCCTAACCAACAAACAGAAACTGTAAACAAGTAGGTGTGTTAGTTTCAGTTAGTTAGCTCCTCCCTGCAGATATAAGGAAGTGTCCACCAGCGTCTGACCAGAACTGAAGAAGCAGCTTGGATGAGCTGCGAAACGTCTTCAACCAAACTAACTTTTATCCAGTCGACAAACTGAATTTTCTCTTTGTCATTTTTAACCAGTAAAAACACCTGTACTTGAATAATAATAATAATAATAATAATAATAATAATAATAATAATAATAATAATAATAAGTTTAATGACCTTCTGTGGCTGCCAAGTGTACATGCTGTTTGAATACAGAAGAGTCTGGAATAGGACAATATAGAGTGAAAAACTTCTGTCCAAACTTGTGACAGTCCAACCACAGCCACTAATTTGTAACACATTTCTCTCAAAATTTTCTTTCCAAAATTCTTGTATCATCCTGAACAAAATATATAACTTCTTTGATCTGAGATAAATAAGAGTTTGGTGCTTTGATTGTGTATTCTGCAGAAATCTGAGCTGTTTCTCATTCCTCTGTTACTTTCTTCACAATTTTTGTTTAAAGGTAAGCTGCCATGTTCTGATTGGTTGTTCTGCCTGTCAATCACACCTTCAGGAATCTAGAATAGTCTTTGTAAAGTTTTGTCAAAGAGTGTAGTTCTGGCTGGTAACTTCTGTAGAACATCTTCAAACAAATCAATAATATATCAAACAGAGAAGAAGCACCATCCCAATAGAAAAGTTACACAGTGCAGCTTTAATATTTGAATGTATATGTATCTGGATATTTCTGTGTATCC